GATGTTTTACTAAAATATTGTCCTAATATTACTCTATTGTTGTAATATTATGCAGTTCTGCGTCAACAATGGCATTGGCAATGTGGCCTCTTTCTTGTCCAATACTGCCCCTTGCTGTATATGCTCAGTACTGAACCATAGTTTTAATAATATTTAAACTCGGTAGTTCAGTGATTACATTACTAATATGATTGTATTTTGATGTTTTACTAAAATATTGTCCTAATATTACTCTATTGTTGTAATATTATGCAGTTCTATGTCAACAATTGCATTGGCAATGTGGCCTCTTTCTGCACACATACAAACCAACSCCTGCCACCACCTTCTGCCACAGCTCTATTGGTCTAATGGTCTATGTCATGGACTTTCATGTGGGAGATCAGGGTTCAAAACCCAGCTAACGCAACTTAAACAACAAATCTCTTCCAACTTCCTGTTGTCACTTATTTACCTTAATTACAAACASCTGCTGACGTGACAGGCACAAGCTGGTATAGAAAACACATTTGAACTTGGTCAAAGTTCATTCTGCAAGTCCAATGATGCATGCAATGGCAATGCACACTTGTTTTTACATCGTAAAAACCCATGTCTAGTTTATTCTACTTCTTTTATTTTATTTGCAACACAACAATACTGGACAACACCAAACCTGAAGAAAAAAACAACAAACATTGAGCATCCAGCAGTATGAATCTGAGAGGACAAGACTTGGTTGGTAAACATGACACTGATGAACGACTCAGGAGTCAATCAGCTCTGCAACGCCGCCGTTTGTCCCGTTTGGTTTGTGTCGCTCAGACGATCCAACGCCACAGAAGTGACTCTGAAATGAAAACGAGGCACCTCGGGAAGAACAGGAAGCACATGACGGAGACGGCCGGCGTCTTCGCCCGTCACGTGATCCCCGCCGTCGTCTGTGGTTGCGCTCGGGCTTTCCACAGTTACCTCATTATTGATGGGCTGTAGCTCCTCGGCACGCAGGGAGCAGATGAACTGAACGGATCGTGGGTTTACACTGCACGCTCGCTGAAGAAAAAGACGAGGGAAAAAAAGGGCCTCTTCCTGGCTGCTTCAAGGCTCTTCGAATGTGATGTCACTGCTAATCCCGTCAGGAAGACACAGCTAAATCTGCTGCTCGGGGGCCTGTCTCACACAGATTGGCTGTGGCAGGGATAGGCCTATAAATAGGACGGCAGAGGAGCAGCCTGTGGTGCTGTCAATGGGGGCCGGGTGGCAGACGATTCCCCTTCAAGGGGGGTGGTCGGGAGGAGAGGAGAAAAGAGAGGATTCCCCTCGTGACTCAACGCCAAAATACTTCTTCCCAATGTCAAGCGCTCGCAGTGACACATTTGGGTGGAGTGGCCAGCAGGCAACGCAGCAGAAACCAGTGGAACACAGAACGGGCTGGCTGTGACTTTGTAGGCTGGCAGAGAGCTGAGCTGCAGGTCAGAGGACAGAGTTTTATATCAGYTTACACTGTTTGTCTTCCAGCTGGTGCAGGGACAGGAAGTCTGCTTCAACTCCWAAACGAAGAAATGTTTTCATTCAAAGCTCAACTACATCCTGGGGTTAAAACAGCTCTGTAATGTACTTTACAAAAATAACTAAGTAAAAGTGAAACTACATGAACAAAAAGGAGTTTGGTAAAACTAAATTTCACTGATGAGAAAACAAGTAAAAGTCTTAAAACTGGTCACAAAAATTGGGAAAGTAAAATTACTTTTACACTCTAAGAAATAAACTGTTGAATTTATTGAACTAAACTGGTTCCACTAAACCATGGATGTTTAATAACACATGGATATTTTAATAACACATGATGTTTAATAACACATGGATATTTTAATAACACATGATGTTTAATAACACATGGATATTTTAACAACACATGGATGTTTTAATAACACATGGATGTTTTAATAACACATGGATGTTTTAATAACACATGATGTTTAATAACACATGGATATTTTAACAACACATGGATGTTTTAATAACACATGGATGTTGTAACAACACACGGATGTTGTAATAACACATGGATATTTTAATAACACATGGATGTTTTAATAACACATGGATGTTTTAACAACACACGGATGTTGTAATAACACATGGATATTTTAACAACACATGGATGTTTTAATAACACATGGATGTTGTAATAACACATGGATGTTGTAATAACACACGGATGTTGTAATAACACACGGATGTTGTAATAACACATGGATGTTGTAATAACACATGGATGTTTTACACATATGTTATGGGTTCCAGCTTTCTGCTGCTCTCTCAGACCTCTCTCTGCTCATGTCTCCAGTGGAACAGATGGTTCTCCTGCAGTCCTGCATCCTGCTGAGCGTGCAGACAATCAGAGCTGCTGCAGATCTGATGCACTTCCATCAGGGCCAGAAGATCCTGTCATACAACGTGGAGCTGAATAACAATAATCGCACACAATGTCACACAATGTCACACAATGTCACACAATGACAGACGTCTGCAGGAACCTACCGTGTGACCCAGGAGACAGAGAAGACATGGAGCTGTGGAGAGGTACAAAACAACAAGAAATAATCTATTTTTTATTTTTATCTTAATGCTCTGCAAGATTTTTACTTTTTTAGGTCAATGAAAGTATAAATAAATGATTTCACCTTTTATGTTTAATTAATAAAATCAGCAGGTGAACATAAAATACACACATCAGCTGAAATATTTTATAAATCTTTAACAAGGAGCTGATTAGAATTCATGTTTCTGAGTGAAATCCAACAAACCGTTAATGTTGGACATGATGCTGTCAGATATCAGAAAAAAATGAGACGTTTATTGTGAAATTACTGAAAGATCTGGGACTTAGTAACAAGGTACCATTCTGAGTACTTACTAAGTACTTACTAGGTACCATACAGGATACTTACTGGGTATCTACCAAATACTGTACCGGGTATTTACTGGGTAATATACAAGGTATAACAACTGGTACTCAGTGTATTTACCTAGTAAAATAAAATATATATTACCCAGGTATAGAGAACTAGGGACTTACAAGATACCATATAGAATACTTACTGTGTACTTACAAGTTGACATACAGAGTACTAGGTACCATACAGGGYACTTGCAATGTACCATACAGAGATAAGTAGCATACAAAGTACTTACAAGGTACCATACAGGGTACTAACTAGGTACTTACTAGGTACTTGCAAGGCATTATATAGAGTATTTAYTAGGTACAATACAAGGTATTTCCTGGGTAATATTCAGGGTACTTACAAGCTACCCTACAGGGTACTTACTTGGTAACACACAGGGTACTTACTGTGTAATGTACAAGGTACCATATAAAGTACTTTTGGGTAATATACAGGGTACTTACTGAGTAGTCACTGGATAATATACCTGGTAACAGAGTTACTGGTACCTRGTTAAAAATGAGTATTTTTACTCTGTAATGTTTTGCCTGTAAATGAATGATCTGAACTGTTTCACTTGTTTTTAATGTGGAAGGTTTCTTCAGACTGAAATAAATTTATTTAGTTTTTCTGTCAGAAGTTTAAAGAAGAGAAGTGACGGTCCAACAAACGGGTCACATAAAAACTCAGTAAACAAACAGGCATCGACAGGAAATCAACAATCAGCTCCAGAACAAAGGACTCGGAGCAGTTCAGCTCAGAGGCGACAGACCGCTCCTCACAGACGACTTGATGTGTTCTGAAGGCTGGAAATACGKCGAAGGAGTTGTTGTAAAGACACAAAGCTGCTGGAAAGGTGCCTTTGGGCAAAACAAAGTCCTTCGGTTCCACAGCGAAAGGAACTGCTCTGCTTTGACAAGTCGGAGAAGGACGAGTCAAAACAGCTTCCTGTCTGAGAGACTTGACGCTCTGCAAAGACCCGTCAGCTCGACCCTTAAAGCCCAAACATCTGATAGTTCTGTTAAAGAAGGAGGAACCTGCAGGAAACTCAGGCTGAAACAGTTTCCACACATCAAACTAATAAAATAAAGCTTCATTTGGGATTTTTACTCCTGTAGACCTGACAGGTAATTCCCTTAATCCTGTTTATTCTGAAAGTTTAAAACTGTTCATGAGACGTCAGAGAGGTCTGAAAGAGCTTTAATGTTTTTTTTATTACATTTTTAAAAGCTGGGGTTTTATTTTGACAAAYTTCAAACCCAAAACTAAATAATTTTATTTTTCTCAGTAACACGTTTTTATCAGTTAKTGGATTAACGAGAAGTAAAACAGCTGAATCACATTAAAGATATGTTTTTAGTCACTTATTTGAAACAATCTGTGGCTAAAAACAAAATGTTTTCTCTTCAAAAAAAGTCTGAAAATCRTCTTTACTGTTGCAGCAGAACGATGAAGAAACAGCAGTAAAACAATAAGAATTTGGACTAAAAGAGAAATATTTGTAGTTCAATTATTT